TTATTTGTAATGTTCTTTGTAATTTGACATAACAATGATGTAATGGTGGAAAGTTAATGGTCGAAAGTTAATGTTATGGTATTCATGTTATTGTATTAATGTTATGGACCTGTAACTTTTACATAACAATGATCTAATATTGGCTTATAATTTACAATGGATTTTAATTTGACATAACAATGACCTAACAATGGACCTATAATTTGGTATAACAATTACCATGCCTTATAATTTGACAGTGGATATATAATTCGAAATAACAATTACCATGCCTTATAATTTGACAGTGGACATATAATTTGACATAACAATTACCATGCCTTATAATTTGACAGTGGACCTATAATTTGACATAACAATTACCATGCCTTATAATTTGACTGTGGACCTATAAGTTGACACAATGGCTTATGGTAGTCTGCAACATACACTAGAATAAACATACTTATATATTGCTTGACAGTAACATATATTACTTATAGTAGTCTGCAACATACACCAGAATAAACATACTTATAATTTGCTTGGCAGTAACATATATTGCTTATAGAAGTCTGCAATATACACCATAATAAACATACTTATGATTTTCCATAAAAATACTTATATATTGCTTGACAGTAACATTGTTTGACAGTAACATATTTGTCTGCTCATCACCAAAATAATTATCCCATGACTTTAACATTGTTTAACCAAAATAACACTCAAGACAAAACTTGAATCAAAAAGAAACATATACTACATTACAACAATTTAAACCTAGAGGACACTATTCTTAAGTTGGTTTAGGAGCTTGTGAACTTTGACCAATTTCTGTTTGTTTTTCTTTAGCGTTAGGCTTCACTTTCTTAGCATTCACTTTTCTAGCCTTCTTTGGTTTATCGCCACCCTTTGGAATACCCCTTTCTGCAACCCTTTTTTCCCTTACAACTCTTCTTGTTATGCCCCATAGCACCATATTTTGCACATGTGGCAGTTGAGGACTTCTTTGGAAGAATGTAAGAATTTCTAGGTTCATCATTTGTTTTGTTTCTCTGTTGTTGTTTTTTTTTTTTCCTTCAAATAGATCTTATCATAACAGGTGGTGCCACTTTACTCACATCAGCTACAGGCCACAATTGTTGTCTGTTGGTTGGAAACACAATGTGGGAGTAAGTTTCCATAAATGTTGATTTTCTACAGAATCCAACCACAATAGTCAAAAATCCATACAATAATATTCAACATAAGAAGTAAATATAGTACTTAAGTCTAACCTATAACATGTAGCAACATAATCCTCACGTTGTTTCTTGATGTTCCATATGCATGCAATCTTGTGCAGAGCATATGGATCATGTGTAGCCCTGTAGCAATTCCTTCTGACTTGAAATCCTCTTGGTGATGTGATGTTTGATGCCTTCCAATAAGGTGATAATAGGCTTTTCCCCATGCTCCAGAATTGCCCTATTGAATGCTTCACACATGTTATTGACCTGTAAATCACACTTTGAATAAGTGCTAAAGTATGATTTGCTCCATTGGCTAGCAGGGACTTCCATTATATCCTTCCATGCCTCTTCTTTCGTTGCTTTCATTTTTAGAATTTCCTTTTCCCTAGCAGGAATTGTTGTTGCCCTAGCAGCTGCCCAAAGCACCTCTTTTAATTCTAACTCAGGGTGTCTCTTCTTCTAGTTTCCATACAAATGCTTAACACACAATCTACACTCCACATTGGCACTAATATCTTGAACAGCTGGAACAAGTCCCTGTAGGTGTAAAATCAAATGACAAATATTAAAAATGTAAGTGTAAAAACAAATGACAATTGATAAAATTGTAAGTTTAAAATCAAATGTAAACAGTTAGCTTTTGTTGATCTGATATAAATGAATAAGACCTCTGATTTTAACCTTCCAAATCATGCAGAAGAATGTCTAAAAACCATTGCCATGATTCTTTTGTTTCAGCTTCTACTACAACATATGTTATTAGAAAAATCTACTTATTTCCATCTCTCCCTATTGCTGACATTAACTTACCACCATAATCTACTTTTAAGAAGCATGTGTCTAACCCAATTAGTGACTTACATGTCTTTGCAAAACCGGCCTTGTAAGCTTCTAAACACACATAAATTCTTTCAAATACATGGTTGTCATTACTATCACCACATTACAACAGTACTATTAGGGTTTGATTTCAATATCTCTTGTCCATAAGATATCAAATGAGAGAATTGCTCAATACCCCTTCAAGCAACTCCATTGCTTTCCTTTTGGCCCTATATGTCTGGTCGTGGGATAGTTTCACTCCTCATTTGTCATTTGCTTCAGCTATGAGGCCTGCTAGTTTCGTATTGGGACTATGCCTAAGAGTGTTGGCAAACCTTTTGGCAAGCCACTTGGTCTTTGCACTTCTAATGTAAGCACTTATGTGACATGTATGTTCTTCAATCAAACTCACAACTTGCTAAAATTAGTTACCAATTCTTTTACTAAATCTCATATAAAAGTTACATTCATCAGTGCATTTCACGACAACCCTTTTGGAGTCATTTTTCTTAATGAATACATTCTTCTGATTTTCCATCCCATAGTCCTTGATTGCATTCCTAATGACATATTTGTTAGTAAACATCATGCCTAGTTGAAATTTCATCTCCTCACCAGATTTATATGTAGGAAACTTGAGTCCCTCATCATCATCACTTCCAGGGGTGTATATAAATGGTCTGAGTCCTCACTTTCATCATGGACCATCTCAGCTTGATCTACATTCTTTTGGAAACTAGCAACCTCACCTAATGTCTCTTGGGGAAGAACCTTAGTCCAGTTCATCTCACTCACATTTGAGTCTTCACTAAAATGGAACTCACTATCCTCAAAACTATTCTCACTTGCAACATAATCATCATTCATGCTAACTGCTCCAGCATCATCAAAATTAGTATCTTCTATAGCTTCATCAACATTAGTATCTCCTACAACTTCATCAACATTAATATCTCCTAGTACTTCATCAGTCTTATCTTCATCAACATCAGTGTCTCCTACAGCTTCGTCATTGTTATCATGCACAACATCTTCACAATCAGACTTAAGGTTAACATATGCACTCTTAAACCCTGTACATTGTATATCATCTTCCCCATCATCCTCAATGTTAGTGTTGACTTCACTATCATCAATAATCTCAGGTATCCCCACATTATGCTCCACATACACATCTATTACATCATATCTACAACATCTTTTGAAAACTGCAAAACATCCTTATCATTGTTCAAGGGTCTAAGACCACGAGAGAATCTATATGCAGGGTTCCAATACCACATTCATTTAATATTTACATAATCCTCACTCTTAATCATATCATTTAATTCCATGTACGACATATAATCGACATCTTAACTCCAATTCATCTCAGTAACTTCCCCATTTACATACCACTTAACAGGTGTCTCAACTAACTTTCCCCTATGATGTATTCTCAATCTAATCTTATTAGTCTTAGCTGACCTGAGAAAAAATTGACAAAACTAGAATCAAACAAGGATAAAGTCGCAGCAAGGACCACAAAATTACATAAACAATACTAAACAGACGGGACCACAAGCACGACAACAACAATACATTAAGTAAATAAAACATAAATGACACCTCTGAAACAAGGGACCACAAGAATACATTAACTTCATTACCACATGGACAATGATACGTACCTTACACAATATTTGTCTCCTTCTTTTCTCTCCTTTTGACTTGTGAATTCGTCATCTTCGTCAAACCAAACACCTCTGAAACACATCTACACATCTTCGATGTTAACTATTGAACATGTTGGACTATGGTTAAGATTGAGGGATTACAGAATTTCGCTTGTTATGAAAGAAGGTTTCAATAAGGGATTATACTTGTTTACCTTCTGAAGAACGATGGTGTGAATTAGGGAAAAATGTTTGACCTAAGTATATATTCTATTTCCATCAATTTTTAATTTGTTTCTTTAATTTAAAAATTTTATTTTAATAGTTTCTAAATTAAAATATCTTGTTGGAATTAAAATATTACAATTTAATGACATGCACTTCATTGCTACATGCCATCTCATTAATGAAACCACCACATAAACAAACAAAAAAAAAGGATGAGTGGATCTAACTTAAGGGATCAAATTTACAAATTTTATAATAGAGAAATCAATTGTTTAAATTGTACAAACTAAATTTGCAAATTTTATAATAGGAGAATCAATTGTTTAAATTATACAAACTAAAGAACCAAAAGTGCATTTAAGTTTTTTTTTTTTTTTAATGCAATGTTATTATTCACTATTTTATTTAGTAGTTTTGAATAAGTTATTTGTCAAGTGCTCAATGCTCCGAATCTATAAAATACATATTTCTATTTTATAACTACTTTTTGTCATCCTAATTACACAATACAAATAAATCCCAATCCCATTCGACTTGTAGGATTTGAAGAGGGGTGAAGTTAGATATCTGAAAGACTTTTTTGAGAATATATGGAGGATTTTGTCTAAAAATACTTCCACACTTTAACAAAATCAATATGGACGGTGATTTTGTCAAGCTCGCCATAAATACAAACATGCAACCCTTTTTTTTTACACTCAATCATAATATGAAGTATTTATTTCTTCTGAAAAATGGAATCTTTCAGTAATCTCAAAAAGAACAAGTGAAACTTCTATGAATCTTTTTTTTTTTTTGAACTTTTTTCTTGTTGAATCATCCTGGTAACATGAAGAAATATACACTTTTCTATGTATAGGGATTTCACTTTTCAGATTTAATGTGAAGCATAAGAGACCGTTAACTACCAAAAGATGAACTGGGGTAACAAAGAATAAAACTGAATGTCCGTTACTGCTGCAACAAGTGTCTTCCAGTTGCACCCTGCACAATGATATGCTTATCTGAATCGCCACATCATTGTCCAGAGAGTTAGAGCCCCAGAATGAATATAAAAGTTTGAAGCGATTTAGAGCAGTGTTCACCCAGTTTTGAATAAACTTGATGGAATCTGAAAGAAACAAAACGTACAAGGAAGTAGGAAATAAGTAACAGTATTCATATACTGTCTGCACCTTCATTATCACGCAAAAGAAAAACACCTAACAAACTGTCAGACCAAAGGTAATACCTTCACGTGATGAGGCATAATCTTTACATCAAATGGAACATGAAGCCATGCTTCAGGTGAATGAAGAAGAAAATTCTCTGGCTTACTGGTATAAACATCTGCATACTGATGAATGTTATAAGCAAATGCAGATTCTTGTCCTGTACTAGTGAGGAATGTTGCTCCAAAAGATTTGTTAAACATCATCTTCATCTTCATGCGTGCTTTTTGTCTTTCCTCATTAAGTTCTTTCAGAAGAGACTTGCAAGCTGCAGTTCTCACACTGTTAGCTTCAGTTGCATGCAATTTACCTAGTAGCTCCTGTATTATATGAAACTTTGCCTGCATTGTTCAACAGAATATGAAGCATAAAATGTGACAGCTTCAAGATATCTACATAAGTAATACTCTGTTCAAGTGTTGACTATAAACCAAATATAGAGAATAAGGAACTTTCTATAATAACTATAAAAATTGTTCATTTACACTTTTTGAACAAATTTAAAAACATATACTGTGAATCCAATATTCTTTTTTATGACAGATACTCTGAATTCAATTTATATACCCATTTACAATTCAGATGTCAAATATATATATATACACACACACATATTCCCTCCAGTCTCATATATAAGCAACTTTACAAAAAAGCTCACCCTTTAAAAAAAATGTCTAAATGCATTTAAGGCACACTCTCTTTCTAATTTTACCCCTACTTTTTGCATTGGAAATCGTTAAAAACATAGAAAGGTGAAAAAAGTAGGGGTATATTTGAAATAATGACATTGAATATAATAAATATAGCTAACTTTTACTTATATTTAAGACCATTGAATTTTTTTTTTATTGTTTTATATTTGAGACCGGTGGGAGTACTGTGTAACATTAAGGTTTAAAATAGACTTATAAATCGTTCACATATGAGTATTCACATCATGAGGAGTGCTAGCATCACACTCTTTAATACCCACTTTTCAACACATTTGTTGTTATTGGTTAAAATTCATATGGGTCTACCCAAATCAAGTGGGTTACATAAGTTAGGTGAAATCCATGTGAATTTTAACAAAAAAGGATGTGTTGAAAAATGTGTTAAAAAGTATGTTGCTAACATTATTCTTCACAACATCCCTTAATTAAAGTATGGGAAAAACAATAACTTGTCTCTCGGTACTCACTAAGAAAAGGCAACAAAAACTAGATGCTCATTTTAAAATAAAATTGTTCTCTACTAAATGATAAACCTCTGTCCGCGAGGTATATATAACATCAACTCCCATGAACAATTTTCTCCTCAATCCTTCGCTCCTCAAGCTCATTAACATAATCATACAGTTAGTACTAGTTGGCCAGTATTCAGTACAACAACTTATCAAAAGTAAGCAAGTATGAAACTGCAAGGAAATAATCTTAGCAAGGACAATTTTTAAGGATACCTGCTCAGTGCGGTATGCATCTTCATTTTGCTTTTGTATTTCATTCTGCATTGTTGAAGAAATAATGTAAATAAATATGTCAATATTTCAGGTGTTGACTATGAAAATAGTTCTACATGCATCAGTTGCCTCAAGAAAAAACATTCATGAAGATTCTCAAACATAACTACTTAATCTTTTAGCAACTGCATAAGCAGCATAACCAACAGGAACTACGAAGATTCTTATTGCTAACATTTTACCAGTTGCATGTCTCTAGGACAACAAAAGTTCAAGTTTTGGGATTACGTTCTAGCAAATGATAGATAAAACAGACCTACGATGGGCTCCACCCTTCATCAGACTGACCCTGCAAAATGTTTAAAGTCTAAACATGTATATATTTGCAGACAGGAAACGAGTTATAGTACAGCATTAGCATGTTTATGAGAGTTATATGAAAATCAACATGAAAACGGATTAAATAGCATGCATACCTCTAATTCATGAATGATTGCAGCTGTGCGCCAGCCTGCCTTTGAGGGCCCTCTCAAGTCACTAAAAAGATGGTCTCCAAAATATATTACCTAATAAAAATGTGAATTATTGTAAAATTGAAGTAAATAGAAATATTATGAAGTATAGCTTATAAAATAAAAGCATACCTCAGGGCCTTTCCACTTGGTTATTTGGAGAAAGGATTTGAGGCATCCATGATAGTAAATTTTATCTGGAAGAAATTTATCAACCTTGGTAAAAGTTAAATTGTCCGTCTTGGTGTCATAACAACTGCACAGAATAGCCAATGATATTGGTATCTTTCAAAATAATTCAAGATTTATGAATGCAAAATCAAATGTCAAAGAGATGAGAAAAGAAAGAAATGATGAGAAAAAGATTGTCTGGCAAAAGAAAATGATCCATATGAGCTTCGTTTGCGACCTGCCACACACTATGCTCAATTTCTTTTAGCATCAAAATGCATCTTTCATTTCCCATTAATTACTAGTATAGTATTAAAGAGTAACATCAAAATGATCTTGTGCTGAAGACAGTTTTATACCTTTCAAAATAATAAAAGATACAATCCGGAATGTATAAACGAGAAAAACTATGTTAGAAAATGTATAAACAAACATCATATCACATGAGATGTATTGGATACAAACCGGAATGGATGCTCAGATGTATAAAATTGTGGTTTGTTGGCCTGGGCAATCACAACATCAAACAGCTCGGTCCAGGAGTCTCTACAATCCATAGAATCCTAATAAAAAAATATTGAAGAGCAAACGCAAGGAAATTATGGCCTGATATGAAAAGGGAAAAACAACAGCAAAATATTAAAATAAAATTAAAACCAAGTGGAGAACTTCCAACCAAACAGTTCAAAAAAACGTGACCTATGAAGCATGGAAATTGACACGGATACCAGACATGACACATTGACACTGCTTACATCCTAAATATGACACATAATATATACATACATACACACATGATGAATACCGATTATAAAGAATGAAACTATAACGCCAGTAATCTCCAGAATTTTCTGATAATGTTAGCTATTCATCTCTACTAGACACTAGTTGCTAAGACAAAAAAGACCACTAAAAGTATGTCTGATAGAACCTCCATTTAGAGACTCCCATCATCTGAATGTAAATTTCACTCATATTTTTTTATAATTTATTGTAATTTTTATTCCATATATACTCTATAGCACTGTTCGAAATATAATTTGCTAGTTAGCACGTGATAAAAGAATGGTAAAGTAGAAAAGGAGCTCTGTCTGGCTCAAAATGTATTTACATTTCACAGACAATGATTGTGGAAGACCACTTCCCAAAATTTAAAAAAAAAACGAAAAAAAAAGGTATTAAACTCTAATAGGTCCGGTGAAGACTATAGAAAGCATTCCATGATACATACAAAATGTGTGGATATGATTTTGTGTTATCAAATACCTCTAACATAAAACGCATCCCACCATCGACAAAGTAATAAGGAGAGTTAGTCAACAAGAAAAGCTTCTTTCCCTTCTCCTTTAGCTTCTTGAGAAAACTTAAAATCTTTCCCTGAAATATTCACAGACAAGTAAATAACAACTACAAGCTATCATCCAGGGAAAAAGATAACACAATTTGACAACAGACAAGTAGATAACAACTACAAGGTATCATCCAGAGAATAAGATGACACAATTTGACACAACAAACAATGTCTACCTTAATAATAGATAGATAGACACAAAAATAAAATATTTAACTGTACTAAGATACTAGATCTTGAAATAGGTTTTTTTGGAACATATTGTTTACCACTTATTGTGGAATATGTTGAACACATTAGTTAATCGTCAATGGAAATAATTATAAAATCTTTTGAACTTACATTTTTCACCAAGTATTTATGTGGATCGGAGAGAATTCCTCTATGAACCAGGCCACTTCTGTGGACATGATCAATTGCACGAATAACATCTTCATAGATGTAGGAAGCATCAAATTCTAGCTTAGCATCCACAAAGTACTGCACTATATCAGCAAGGAGGCATGCCTACCAAGTAACACTAAACAGTTAGCTCTCAACCTAATATTTTTGGCAGAAAGAGAATTCATAAGTTAATAGGCTATAGAGGAATTGAAAAATGAAATTGTCAGCATAGTTTTGACTTTGAAGAGAATTTTCAAATTTTGAAGAGATTAACAATAAGTTCCTCTAATATAGACCTGATACAAACATGGACCCTTAGTTTTATATGCTGTGACTAGTTTTTAGGATCATATAAGGTGATTTTCTTTCCTTCAAAATAAGCACATACATACGGCCTTAAAAGGAAAAAAAATAATAGAATTTCAGCTAATTTTCTGTTCACTTTACATTTTTGTATATAAGAACTCCTCTCTATTAACTAAATTATATAATCATGACTCCCGATGATATTCCTTATATTTTACAAAATAAAATAGCAATAAAAAGATGTCTTATTGTGCTCCACGTCCTATGTCCATTTCTTCTAATATAGTGGGCTCCATCGGGAGAGCCTTGAAGGTGCTATATCAATGGAAGCCAATCATTTGTCTATATAGTTTTGTGATACACCTACTCAGTAGAATGACAATCTTATATGACATGAGATGATATGTAGAAGACTCATTTCATAAATTTTTGCTAAGGCAAAGCTTCAATACTCCACAGTACCAAAAGTAGTCTAGTCATGCAACAGCTAATCCTTAACAAACTAATTATTCAAGAATGACCAGGAACACACCTCACTGAAGCAGAAGAAATCCATCAAACCAACCAGTGATCGAGCGTGATCACGGCCAATGTGTCGTGTACCATATACATCCCGTATTTCGCTTTGGCTCAACTGTAAAATTTGGAAGTAACAAATTTATGCAAGAAAAACATCTTTCATATTTTATTTCTGATGCAACACACAATACTTCAATGCAGACAACGCCAACCATACAATGCATAAAACCCCAACACAGTACATAACTTTGTGCTGCATATAAATAAAGTGTGGAATAAAATAAAGTGAAACAATGTCCAATACCCTGCGTCTACCGAAGTAGCATCCGTCCGGCTCAATTGAACCAAAGAAATCCAGCTTCATGAGACACCCCTTTGACTTATCATAGTATAGGCCTCTAATAGGGAAAGTTGGATCATATGTAAAACTCATACAAACGTCCGGATACCTAAGCTGAAAGAACCACAAGAAGAGTAAGGAAAGAAACCAAAACAGCAAATAATCCAAGTTAGAAAAAACTGCAATCAGAAACAGACCTCATTAACCATATACTCCTTAGCAAGATCATATATCAAAGTCTGCAAATGATCCGAGTAATGTGCCAATGTGTAATCGTAATCGAAACCGTAAACTTGCAATCTATCCAATCTCAAGTTCTTATTCACATATATGCCTAAAAATCCAAAATCCACAACATCATTCAATTCAATTTCTTATAAAACAGTAAAATGCCAAAGCAAGAAATAACCTCAACAAACCTTCCGGATTCATTTTTGGCATTTCTTTAAGAGCATTAGGAATCTTGAGAAAACTCTGTTTAGCAACTTCGAATTGTTGACGAAGTGTAGAAATCTCTTCATCTTGAGGTTGCAATATACAGTTTTCCGACGATTCAAAACCGCCATAGCTGCGAAAAATTGCCGAAAACCCTAAAATAATAAATAAAAAATCACCTCAGTGGTTTCCCGCGCAAGATTTTGTTGTTGAATAAATAAATAAATAAACAAATATAAACAGTTGCAAAATCAATATCAATATTGAAGAAAATGAAGACTAGAAAACGATGAATCGAAAAAAATACCTTGTTGAAATGCGGAAGATGAGAGAAGTGTTGCCTGCGAAAGAGGAAACAGAAGAACGAGTAAGAAATTGACCGAAATGGAAGAAGAATGAGTAGCGTGAGAGGAGCTCGTACGTGAATGGAAGAACGAACGGAACGAAGAGTGCGAGAAGAATTGAGAAAGAATGCCATTTCTTGGGAGTTTGAAATCGAGAAGACTAGATTTGAGAAGAGGCGGGTACGGTATATACATACAGTTGGCGTCGATTAGAAATGAGAAAGACTGAAAGAGTGAAAACCCACAGTTGGTGATGTGATTAACTGTAATGGAAAATAAAGGGAGCTGATGAAAAAGATAGTGAGTTTTTAACTCAAAAAATAAATATGGGTGTCTTTTTTAAATAAGGTTAGTGTTATAATATTATTATTTAAAAATATATATTTAAATAGTAATGGTAAATTATTGTTGATACATAATTTGTCAAAGTTTAAATAGTAAGTTAAATTATTACATTAGTATAATAGTTGCATTTTTAGTAGTATAAATACTATATTTGGCTAATGTAAAAATACACACCAAAAATTTACATTGAAAGCACAAGTAAAGCATTCTTCTTTCTTCAATCTTTCATTTAAGTTTGATAATTAAACTAGTTTAGTAACTTATATTAGTTCATAAATATTAACAAATATTCAAAGTCGGTTTTTCTCAACACGTTATCAGTACCGTCGTTTCTATCAGAAGTTATTACTACACTAGAAGGTTAGACATAGAACATGTTAAAGACATTTGCATTATAGACAGTGGAACTACCCACACAATCCTCAAATGTAAAAAATATTTTACTGAAATAAATCCTACTAAAGGTGTAATAAATACAATCTCAGGTCCGGCTGATTTGATTGAAGGAACATGTAATGTTATGTTCATATTACTAAATGGAATAAAGGTTGTCATTAATAATACTTTATATTCTCCAAAATCAAAGAGAAATTTGTTGAGTTTTAGTGACATATATCGTCAAAGATATGATACTGAAAATGCAACTGAAGGTAATATGAAATATATTAACATTACTACTAATGTTTTGGGAAAGAAGAAAACTTCAGAAAAACTACCAAAATTGCCTTCTGGATTACATTATATTTATATACATGCAATTGAATGTAATTTAGTAGTAAAAGAAGATCCCAAAACGATGACTTTATGGCATGATCGTTTAGGTCACCCTGGTTCAATAATGATGCGTAAAATAGTTGAAAGTAGCCATGGTCATCCATTGAAAGTTTTAAAACTTACAAAAGAAGATAAACCATGTGAAGCTTGCTCTCTTGGAAAGCTAATAGCAAAGCATTCGCCAGGTAAGATTCAAACAGACTCACCTGCATTTCTTGAAAAAATCCAATGTGATATTGTGGACTTATCCATCCACCGTCAGGACCATTCAGGTACTTTATGGTATTAATTGATGCATCTAGTAGATGGTCATATGTATGTTTACTGTCAAGTCGTGATATGACATTTGCAAAATTTCTTGCACAAATAATTAAACTAAGGGCTCAATTTCCTGATTACATTATAAAGAAAATTATACTTGACAATGTTGGTGAATTCACATCTGAATCATTTAATAATTATTGCATGTCAATTGGAGTTACTGTTGAACATCTTGTTCCTCATGTGCATACACAAAATGGTTTAGCTGAGTCTTTAATCAAACGTCTTCAATATATTGCTAGACCATGAAAGCTAAACTACCAGTTACAGTTTTGAGTCATGCAATTTTACATGCTGCAGCACTCATCCGTCTAGGGTCAAGTGCTAATCATAAATATACACCTGATCAACTTGCAATTGGTAAGGAACCAAATATTTCTCATTTAAAAATATTTGGTTGTGCAGTATATGTCACAATATCTCCACCACATAGAACAAAAATGGGACATCAAAGGAGTTGGGAATATATGTGGGGTATGAATTATCTTCTATTGTTAGATATCTTGAACCTTTAACAGACGATGTTTTTCAGGAAAGACTTGTTGACTGTCATTTTGAGGAAACAAAATTTCCAACACTAGGGGGAGAAAATAAAAAATTAGAAAATGAGATAACATGGTTTGTACCCCATTTATTACATTTGGACTCATATAATAAATCATGGGAAGAAAATGTAAAGAAAATTATGCACTTACAAGATTTAGCAAATCAATTATCATATTCTTTTACTGATTTGAAAAGAGTGACAAAGTAACACGTACCAGCTATAAATGTCCCAGCTCGGATTGAGATTTCAAATATAAATGATGTAGCAAGTACATCTAAGGCACACTTGAAGTGTGGTCGACCTATGGGATCCAAAGACAAAAATCTCCGAAAAAGAAAAAGGATAGAAAAGGTGAATATGATTGAAAGTGAACTTGAAATGACACTAGATAATAATAAATCCACAATTGAAAAATATGCTTCTGAAGAAGCGCAAGATGATGATAATGAGATCATTGATAATGAAAATAAAAACAAGAATGACCTTGAAATTTCAATTAATTATGTTGATACAGGAACTTTGTGGAACCGAAAAGGTATAAATATAGATGAAATATTTTCATTCTACATTGCATGTGAAATTATGAATGAAAATGATGATCCCGAACCAAGAACTATGAATGAATGTCAAAATAGACATGATTGGAAAAATTGGAAGGATGCAATAGATACTGAATTAAATTCTCTTAAAAATCGAAAAGTATTTGGCGTCATTACGACTATACCAAAAGATGTGAAACTGGTTGGGTATAAGTGGGTCTTTGTAAGAAAACGAAATGAGAAAAATGAGATTGTCAAATACAAGGTTTGTCTTGTTGCACAAGGTTTTTACCAAAGACCAGGAATCGATTATGAGGTGAGTTATTCTCCTGTTATGGATGTCATTACTTAATTGGTTTATCAGTATTTAACAATCTTGATATGTATCTTATGGATGTTGTTACTGCTTATTTGTATGGATCACTTGATATTGATATATACATGAAATCCCAGAAGGATTTAAAATGCCTGAGACATCAAAACCTAGAGAAATGTATGCAATTAAGTTGCAAAGGTCATTGTATGGATTAAAACAATCAGGGTGCATGTGGTATAATAGGCTAAGTGGATATTTGCTTAAAGAAGATTATGAAAATAATCTTATTTGCCCTTGTGTTTTTATAAGAAAAACAATATTCGATTTTGTAATAATTGTTGTCTATGTTGATGATTTAAATATCATTGGAACTAATAGAGAAATAGACGAAGCAGAAGATTACTTAAAGAAAGAATTTGAAATGAAAGATTTGGGAAAAACAAAGTTTTGCCTTGGTTTACAAATTGAGTATACTAAAAATGGTATATTGGCACATCAATCAAATTATATAGAAAGGGTATTGAAAAGGTTTAACATGGACAAAGCAAACTCTTTAAGTACTCCAATGACGGGTATAACACTTAACATTAAAAATGATCTATTTAGACCTAAGAAAGATAATAAAGAAAATCTTGAATTTGAAGTACCATACCTCAGTGTCATTGGGGCGCTCATGTACCTTGCTAACTATACCATACCTGATATAGCTTTTGCAGTAAACTTATTAGCAAGATTCAGTTCATGTCCTACAAAAAGACATTGGAAATGAATAAAGCATATATTATGATATCTTCGAGGTACATCAGACCTTGGTTTATTTTATTCTAACAATACAAAACCAGCTTTACTTGGTTACGCAGATGCAAGATATTTGTCAGATCCACATAATGTTAAATCACATACTATATATATATATATATATATATATATATATATATATATATATATATATATATATATATATATATATATATATATATATATATATATATATATATATATATATATATATATATATATATATATATATATATATATATATATACACACACATATAGTAACACTGCAATATCATGGAGATCAAAAAAGCAAACACTTGTAGCAACTTCTTCAAATCATGCTGAAGTAGTTGCTCTTCATGAAGCAAGCAAAGAATGTAGATGGTTACGATCGATAATTAGACATGTCCAAGGAGCATCTAGTTTACCCATTGATAATAATCCAACAATTTTGTATGAAGACGATGTTGCATGTGTTACCCAGATGAAAGAAGGTTACATCAAAAGTGACATAACTAAGCATATCCCTCCAAAGTTCTTCTCATTCCCACAAGAACTCGAAAGAAACAAAGAGGTTAATATTCAATATATTTGTTCATGTGATAATACGGCAGGTCTCTTCACAAAGGCACTTCCTACATCAATTTTCAAGAAGCATGTACAAAATATTGGAATGCGTCAACTTCGAGATCTTTAAAGAAGAATTATGTGTGCTCTGTCGAGGGGGACATCATGTTGTACTCTTTTTCCCTTATTAAGGTTTTTATCCCAATGGATTTTTCCTAATAAGATTTTTAACGAGGTAATATATGTTCTCATAAGTTTCTCCTTTGATAAGACTCTGATGGAGCACCGTAATAGATATTTCAAAAGGGGAGTGTTATAATAATAATAATAATAATAATAATAATAATAATAATAATAATAATAATAATAATAATAATAATATTATTATTATTATTATTATTAAAATAATATGTTATTTAGAGATATCTATCTAAATAGTAATGACAAATTATTGTAGATACATAATTTATCAAAGTTTAAATAGTAAGTCCAATTATTACATTAGTGTAATAGTTGCATTCCTAGTAATATAAATACTATATTTGGCCAATGTAAAAATACACACCAAAAATTTACTTTGAAAGCACAAGTAAAACATTCTTCTTTCTTCAATCTTTCATCTAAGTTTGATAGTTAAATTAGTTTAGTAACTTATATTAGTTCATAAATATAACAAATATTCAAAGTCGGTTTTTCTCAACAGTTAGCACTTTTTTCAAACTCATTATTTACTTCTTTATAACTTTACTGCTAAATGATATACTAAGTAGACTCCTTATTATAAATAAATTGGTGATACATCTTATAATACTTATTTTATAAGTGGTTAAAATAAAGTCAAACTCTTTTGAACATTTTAATGATCATGATTAACTGTCTATGTAAAATCATTTTTTTCGATGGATGAATTTGATGAATTTGTCTTAATGAATTCAATTGTCACCCC